CCTCCATGGAGATGGTTAGTGAAGGTCCCCTGGGACCGGCAAGGCCGGGTGCACCCTAGATGACAAGCACAACCACAACATTGGCACCTCTCATCGGGGTGGCCCCAGCCAGCCGGGCACTGCACAGAAGGGCCTTTCCCATCCGGCCAGCCAGCCCGCTCCGTGTCTGTGCTCCCCGTGTACGTGGCAGGCAAGGCCTTCTGACTCGCCCCCCCTCCCCCCCGTGTTGTCCGCAGCGCTGTGCGAGTTCGCTCGTGCGTGAGAAAGCAAGTGGGCTGAGCCCACGAAAGCTCATGCTGCCAGCCACGTTCTGTTAGTCTCTAAGGGGCCGCTAGGCTGCTCCTTGTTTTTTAAGTTTTTCCAGTTACTAACCTGGCTCCCCCTCGGAAACATTTGGCTATGGAACTCAGCTTAACTCACCGGCAGGCCTGGCGCGCCTTTGGGTCCCGGCTGGCCCTGGAAGCCTTTCGGTCCCTAAGATGAGAAAGAACACGGGGAAAAGAAGGCTGGAGCCTCCCAGACTGTCCCTCGGATTCTTTACGTCCATGCGTGGAATGGCTGCCGTGGCGTGCACCGATCTGGAAGTGGCGTATCACAAGTCATGGCGCACACAGATAGCGGGGTGGGCTGGGGCCGAGGTGGGGGCTCGTCTCTAATGGGGGATGTGGGCTTTGGGGTGCAGGAGGGGATTCTGGGAGGGCAGAGGGGTTCAGATCAGGAGGGGGCTGCAGGCTGAGGCAGGGAGTTGGGGTGAGGGCTGTGGGCTGGGCCAGGGGATGAAGGGTTTGGAATGCAAGAGGGCAGGCCCGGACTGCTGGAAGAAGTGGGACTCTGGACTGGGGGTGTGGGATTCGGGGTGCAGGAGGCAGCTCGGGTGGGGGGGAGCTCAGGGTGTGTGGAGGGAACCTGGGCAGCTCCTGGGCAGTGGCACGAAGGCAGGTCTGGCTCCTGGGGAAGGAGGGATGAGGCTCCAGGGCAGCATGCGAAGCCCCGTGGCTCCCCGCTTCGAAGCCAGACCTGCTGTGCTGACCACTTCCCTGCCAGCCCCAGCCCAGAGCCGTCCCGGCTACGGCAACC